AGCTTTATTATTGAACGTAAAATAAAAATTGTTTGATTTAGTAGAAAGAAAACGCACAGATATTTCCTTCTTTGAAAATGCGGCCCTGTATCCAGCACTCGTTTCAAAAGTCGGTTTTCCAAGCGGTATGTGTATCCTTATTTGTTAGACGGGTAATAACTGCAATCATATTTCAAAATTAACTATTTTGGCCTAAAATTCATATTTTTGAAAACATTGGAGATGGCATTGGAGCCTCAGTGTTCAAATTCAAAATCCACGCACGATGTCTTTGTAAAAATAACTACAACACAATAAATTCGGCATTCACGAAACTTCACCATTCGAATGAGTGGGCTTTTCCTGTCATTTTGGAGAAGGTTTCGCGAATAGCATTAATGATCCTGTAACTCTAAACAAAATCAAAATTTCAGGGCTGATTTCAAAAAAATAAGTGTTATTCTGATAGTTTATTTAAAAAAAAAATGCTATTTTTTTTAATGATTCTGATTGATAACTAAAAAAATTGCTTTTTATGGAACAAGTTGCAAAAAGAAGATTTTTTCAACAAGAGTCGTAGTTTATGCAACGAGGCTTGTCGAGTTGGATAATTACGACGAGTGTTGACAAAACAGAATTTTGCAACGAGTTGCATTCAAACATTTTTGCACTCAAAACAGTGTCAAAAAGTAGAACTTTTCGGCACGGGATGCTAAAAAGTAGTTCTTTCGACACTGTTATTTTAATTGTGAAAAGTACCCAAGTAAGCAACAAGCCCGCTAATCACCCTTTTATCAATTTAATGCTGATATACACACTTAATCTAGCTCGGTAAAATCTCCAACAGCCAATTACTTCAGCATTCACTTTTGCTGATATCTCTGCAAAATTTCTGTTTGTTAGCTGATAGGTAGAGGAGGGACATACTGAACAGGTGGGGCATAGTGAGCATCCCGCAGTTTGGCCCTGGATCTCTAGCTGCATGAAACAAATCAACTGGTTCAATATCATTATGATATTGACCCTACCACCAATAAATTTGTTCCGAACGGCCGGAAGTCCAAGCTGGTGCACGGGATGCTCACTATGCCCCACCTGTTCACTATGCCCCTCTTACCCCTATCTCAACAAAATGTTATTTGTTAGCTGAGTCTCGGCAATTGTTTGACTGCATCTAAACAAAATAAATTGCAGAATTACTCGGCTGTTGAAATCTCGGCGAAAAAATTTAAGTGTGTACGACTGATATAAAGCTTGGGGGCTGTTCATTAACTACGTAGACAGTTTTTTGAGATTCTAGACAATTGTCCATACGAAATTTTTAAAATTTGTATGGACCGTGGATGATTGACAACCCCCCCCCCCCTCAACTGTCTACGTAGTTTATGAACAGCCCCTTGAAAGCCCTATAACCTTATATTGAAAAAATAGCGATTTGCGTGCTACTAGCGGGCTTGGCGGTTACTTGGGTAGGCCATTATGTTATACAAAACAGTGCCGAAAAGTGGCACTAAAAGAAATATTTTGTTACTGAATTATATTCTCAATTTAAACCAAAATATTTACGTTGAGAGCGCATAATAAACAATTCCCCATATACGAATAGCTACCCGTAATCCGTTGGAACTACTCGATTTGTCATACTAGTTTATCATTTCTGTCATGGAGATTCAGCGCGTTTAATTATGTTGTTAAAAATTATCCCACTTACACAGCGCCCGATGTGACAACCGACAGTAACATGCCGAACAACCACATCGGCCGGTCTCTGTTCCGTCATGATCCATCACCGGTCGTAGGTATCATGTACCTTGTACCTCCGTTGAGGCACTACCTATAGTACATTACTACTGCCTCTGGTCTATCGCCGCAACTTACGTGCCGAGTTATTATACACAGGAGTTCAACGGTAGTATAGCAGATATTAGCTAATCCACCGCGTGAGACTGTGCGCTGCTAAACCGTAGACATGAGAATGGGGTAATAAATATTAATGCGTTTTAGCGATAAAGAGTGTGTGGGATTGCACGATGCCTTAGGGATGCTCACATTTTGCAATTCATCTTTTATTGGTGCTTTTACCACACGCGTTGTAGTCTAGGATGACATCCCTAGCGGCAGTTCTACCTCAACACCTTCTGCGTATTTCGGTTTGGCTCCTGCACCAGCAATGTCAATTAGAAATTTCACCCAGATCACCCAGTGAACGTCTTTTATAAAATCCACATTGCGCAGACGAATTTACACGAATAAATACGTAGCACCGAACGTGTCTGGTAGGTTAGGTATATAGTAGTAACATACGTAAATGCGTTGTACGTACAAGTGAGCTAATGGGTAGACCACCAAAGTGATGAACGGTACGAATCAGCATGACTATATCGTGAATTAACGGCCCAGAATAGATGCATTACGCATTACGAGCATGGAGAATGGATTGGGGAAACTGAAGAAAGTTTTGAAGAAACGTGATTTTCAATTTACGCATTGGTGATTCATGATGCACCGGGTGCTCCGAGGATAGGGCCAGAATACATTGTTTGTGGGAGATTAAAGGGATATTGATTAGGGAAACCTGATGAAAATTCCTGATGAATAATTAATTTAATATCGAGTATTTGTTGACAGAGTATACGGAGAGTTGACTGTATTTGTTGATGTTGAAAACTTAAATCAGCAAAATTCAATGAGATGCCGTCATTCTGATAGTTGTTATTGTTATTTCTGACCTTTACACGTCATTTCTGTCCCTAAAATACTCATAATGTACAGTATCATATAATTTTTTTGGAAATTATAAACTGCGAACTTGGATTTTAATGGCGCCTGACACAATTTTCAGTAACTACCAACGCCTTATCAACTATACCGATGATAGCAGCTTCATAGATGGCTAGAATCTCAAGTTATAGCATAATCATGAAATTCACATGTACACTAGCACCACGTAGTGATATAATTCTAAATTAATTTGTCATTCATCAACCATCCACGGAAGCCCCTTCTTCTCCCGCCACAATCGAGTTAATCCAGTCATCGTCCTGCAGTCGTCCCGGACCTGTGTGTTTGTGCTTGGAGTAGAGGTCTTCATATCCGCATTTCAAGGCTAGTATGTTCGTGTCATTACCAGTTCCACTCCAGATTCGTCCGTTACGATTTATTCCTGGCTGTTGCTGACTGCGAGTATGACGTTATCATCTTGATTGAAACCGGACTTGACGATAGGCATATGGCATGAAAAGGGTCTAACAAGTTTTGTTTGCAAAAGTTGATAGGCTTTTTTCAAATGTTACGCGTTTTCATTTGTAGTAAACAGGGGCTCCGCTGTTGTGTCAAATTTTGTTCAGTGAGTGAACTCCAGTTGACCCGTGCGCAGGTCTATAACCCAAGCATTATTATGGTTTTCAAGTCCATTCTAAGTCTTTAAGGTCTGTATCCACAATAATCCGGACATATCAAAACTTAAGTAAAACACAAATTTCGCATTATATTTCAATTGTAGTTGTTTATTTAAGATTCTTGGGTAATGATTTGAAAATTTTCGACGTCGGTATTTGCATAAAATTTTCGAACTTTGCACTTAACTCCCTCAATTAGGGTTTGTACAGACTCCTCAGACACCGTGGTGGCCGTCTATGTCCAAATTTGTTGGAGGTGTTTGATATATTTGATTCCTTGTTTCTTTCCAGAAAGCTTCCGCATCATCAGAGCTCATTAACTCTCGATTGGACGTAACTCCGGACAATTTGGTGGCTTTGCGATTTTTGGTACAATAATCACTTGATTTGCTTCGTACCACTCCATCACAGTATTAGCATAATGACATGAAGCCAAATCGGGCCAGAACAAAGGGTTTTCTTTGTGGCTTTTGATGAAGTGTAGCAATCGCTTCTGCAGGCACTCTTTCTGGTAAATCTCCTGGTTGATTGTGGCTTCTGCTTAAAATCCTCCAGTACATAAGATTCATCGTCCATAATAACGCATGAAAACTTCGTCAAATATTCACATTACAAACGTTGAGCCCGTGATTGTTCTGTCAAATTCTGTTTGTCGTTGCGATTCGGATTTTCCTTCAGTGACCTTTTCACCTTTCGGTCCATGACAGGATCAGCACGACCAATATTTTTATTACTTCTCGATCGTCAAACGTTCCAAAAATGATTTAAGCACACCGTGAACAGTGGATTTAGGTAAATCATATTTTTTGCAAGTTCTCATGTTGTCAACATGAGATGTGTATGACGTCCGTAAAAAATTCGCTCGCGTACGTGTCTATCATTAGTAGCCATCTTGAACACTAAATATGGAATGGTGTTTACCAATCATAGTCTTTTTCATCAATGACTAAAGACAGTTCTCGAAAAAAAAATGTTCACCAACAATTCATTTTAAGTCGGATATTTTTGAAACTCTCAGGGAATATATAAACACATATTGAGCCTTATTACGGGTCTCACTTCACGGTGAATACGAAGTGAAATGACAAGTTGTCATTCACTGTGAAGTGATTACCATTTGATTTGCCCGGGAATTACTTCACCGTGAATGATAATTTGTCACTTCACTTCGTATTCACCGTGAAGTGACACTCATAATAAGGGCCATTAGCTATGTTTTTGCAAGCTTAGTTTATTCAACCTCCTCTCCTAGGCTAAATGCCCTCACCTTGGACTTAACGTTACCCATAAACTTGCGCCATCTTTCTTACACACTTTCATCCACTCTTTCTTCAAATCCTTGTCGTTTCTGAAGACCTTCCCTGTTTTCCGGAGCTTGCCCTTCATAATCGCCCAGAATTTTTCTATTGGCGAGTTTGGCGGATTCGTCTCCTTCGGCACAAAAACAACATCGTTAGCTTCGTACCGCACGTCGTTATGTACGGCTTGCTCAATTGTCCGCATCCACAGATCGCCTGCCACACTAAGTACTTCTTGGCAAATTTGTCGACCTTCTTCTTCTGGAACTTTTCCGGAACATCCAGGCGGGACTTGCCGACGAAAAACCCCAGGCCGGGGATTTACTTGGCGTCCGCTTTAATGTACGTATCGTCGTCCATTACGATGCATTTCGGCTGCATCAACCCCTCGTGGTACAGCTTATTGGCGCGGGATTTGGCCACCGTATTCTGTTTATCGGTTCGGTTAGTTGCCTTCCTTACCTTGAAGACATGAAGTCCGGCCCGTTTCATTGTCTACTGGATGAACCAGACGGAAGAATTGACCTTCTTGGCCATGTCCCGAATCGAAAGGTTCGGATTGCGCTTGAAGTAATCCCTCACCTTCCTTTCGTTCACGGGATCGGCTGTCTTCGCTTTTCTTCTACTGCCAGCTCGCCGCTGGGTTGTCTGGGTCTGCTTGAATGATTTTACCTCACGGGGAATGGTCGAATTGTCTATTCCAAACTGTTTCGCGATCCTGGATTTGCCACAACCCTTCGCATATTTTTTTTGTCGAAGCACTTCTTGCTTGGAAGCCATCTCGATAACCACTTGACAGATTGTGATGATATTTTCACATGTAAACATTACACTCTAAACTTGTTGTAATTAAAATTTCATCAATTTTTACCCATGCATTAAAAAGTTATACACAAAAGAAAGTGTTGCATCGAGTACAATCTTACCAGCCATGCCTCAGTGAAATGTTTCACTCCTACGAGCAATATTTCAAATATTACAGTGCTTTGATTAATGTGGATACAGGCCTTAAAACCTCTAAAAAACCATGATACAACATTGTTTCTTGGGAAACGCTCCCATGAACATTTATCATGTAGCACAAGCATTACACGCACCTGTCAAACATTGCTCACAAAACGCACTACATAAGTAGCTCTTATACGCCTTTCGTATTCCGACCTCAACCGATGTCAATAGTATTTCGGGAATCTACAGGGTGTTTCAGAATAACTATCACCGATTTCATATGGGTGTATGTTCAGGTTTTTTTGTATAAAGGTGTGAATAAATATCAGCTTGTTTTGATAGTAGGATTTGAAATCTCATTCGGTTTGGATTTCAAGCAGCCATGGACGTGTATTACCTTTAGAAACTGAAATCCCCTCGAAAGAATGAAACATTTATTTTTCGCATCGTTATTGAGGTAAAAAGGAACAATTTGTGGAAAATCCGTTCAATATCAGGACTTAGACGCATCGCCAGGACTCCAAAAAAAGCTGGAACTAAAACGTGGTAGCTGTGGTTCATTTTCGTGACAAATGTTGTTGGTAATTAGAGGTAAAAGATTTGAATTAAAGTATGCTAAGTTGAAGGTTATAAGGATTGTTCATTAATGAAAGTAGACACAATATTTATTTTCGAACAAATTCATAAGTTTACTTAATACAAATGAAAATCAACATACATATGACCGATTTCACGTGAGTTTGAATGTTTACTTCTCATTTCTGAAGAACGTGCGGACTTTTCTCTTGATATCGCCCATTAGATTCTGCACAACTTACTTCTTAACTTTTCGTTGTGCTGCAGTCAACAGAGCTTACTTCTGTTCCATCTTTCCTAAGATGCCGTTTAATTATTTCCCAGTATCTTTCGATAGGACGCAGTTCAGGGCAATTTTGGAGATTTTGGAATTTTTCAACATTATCAACTTTTTCCTTCTTGAGCATCTCCAACGTATCAGAAGCATAGTGAGCAGATGCCAGATCAGGTAGATGGGTAGAAGCCGTTTGTTGATGCATTCTTTTCTGTAATTTTCATCATTGATTGTGCCCGTTGTGCTTCTTGTAGGTTCTGATATTGTTACGTTTTTTGATATTCTGCACAGTTCAAACGCTTATGTCCAATTTTTTTGCAATTTCACGTTTATGTGATTTCAAAAGGCGTACTGCTGCCAGCTCCTTTTTCTGGTGCGATGCGCCCTTTTTGCGACCAAATTTCGGTAAATCTTCAAGAGAACACGTTTCTCTAAACTTCTTAACAATCTTAAACACTGTACATTTACTAAACTTCACGCTTTTTGCCAATTCTCGAAACGACAACTTTTCGGAAAACCATTTGTGCAGAATTAATCAAAAATTTCTCACTTTATTTTTTATTTTTCAGGTGTGTTTCCAAAATAAACAATGTTTTTACATACTGAGCGAAAATTCACAATTTTTCGTTGCGTTTTAACCCTAAGCCATTGATAAACAGGTGTCCATTTTCTTTAATGAACAGTCCATATATGCAGTATATCTGGAATATGCTGATATCAAATAATCATGCAAGCGTTCAACTGTTATGATCATTTAAAAAAGTGACAGTTATTCCGAATCTTCCTGTAGTTTAGACTTTAGACATCAGAAAAAATCATAATGGTTGGTTACATTACGCATGATAGGTCATGATAATATGAATATTATTAATGGTGTATTTTCACAACATGAAACGAAATCATGAGCCATTTTCTCATTTCGCAGATTTAACTTGCTCCCATGCCCAAATAACCCATTATACTAAAAAATTGCTTTAAATAGCTAAATGATTTTGACACGGCAATATATTTAAGATTCTTTTAATTTGGCTGATAAGTTGTTTTAAATTTAACAAATTTTGAAGCAGAGATGGATGGGCCTTTTGCGGCTTATTCATTGCATTTTTTCTAACGTAAAATCCAGTTGAATTTTCAGTTAATCCATCGTAAAAAAGATGGTTTAATGCTATTAATCTTCCTTTCAAATTGCAAAATTTCCGCAACGTTGTGCTCTCAATTTTCCAATTTTACGATGGGACTGAAAACTTAACTGGATTTAACGTATGCATTCTATTATAAAAAGTAATGAAAATGTTCCAAAAATCATGAATCATGATCAGCAATCCAATGCTTTACTGAAAAACAGCAAACGATATTTTTACCGAAAAAATCAGCTCACATAAACTAACACCCAGTCAAAGAGCTGTCAAACTGTTAGCATCACAGTCGCAAGTATTTTTGCATTCGTACACCACCGGTCAAACCGCAGGAGGAGGAAGAGGTAAAAAGAACTACAAATAAATAAAATTATGAAGGTAAGGACACTGGCTCGGACACTGGTTATATTTATTAAATGGTACTCGGAAAAGAGTCTGGCGATTTTATCTTTATTATTCGTATATTTGTATCAATGATCTTTTACAGAAGCTGGAAGCTCATATAGTGAAAACAAAAGTCTAAAATCAGTAAAATTTTGCTGATTTTCAGCGATTTAAATTTGGTGTGTACCGATGGGTTGTGGACTGCTTTCAGGTGGGTCACAGAAATTCAGATAACTTAATAATTTTTTTTTTAAATTTCGGGCAAAATTTATCTGAATATCACTGTATTAGGGTAAGATGGGGTAAGAAGCACCCCCGGGACAAGATTACTTTTTGCAAATTTTGAATACCTTTTCAATATATTTTCGTGAATTTATTTTGCAGCATTGCTAGTTCAGACATTATACTTGAAAAAGATTAAAAAAAAAAAGTATTAAAAACGCCAACAATACATTTTGCCTCGGAGGTACATCTTACCTCATCTTACACTATGTCCTTTACGTATGTCCTCAACTTATTCATGCATCATTTTGCATTTTTATTGTACGTGTTGCGTATTCTCTTCGTGTGACACCACACCTACTCATTTACCACACTGCTGTAGCGGTGCTGCATCGATACCTTGCGCAGGAGTGTGAAGTTGCCCTGCGATATTCAACCGACAAGCGGAGCTGTCAAATCATCGGCACCGGGCCAGGACGGAGAAATGTAAGAAAAAAGTTAAAAACCGGTCAAAACGTCAATTAGATTAAATCGTGCAAAGTTTTCTCTTAAATAAATACTTAAAAAACTAGTGAATTTCCTTAAAATACCATAAAATAACAGTAAATTACCTAAACTAGTGACTTAGCGTAAGGTAGAAGGTTAAACGATAAAAAAAAACTACAAGGCACAGCCCCAAGCAACACACATGTACTAAAACAGTTTATATAACCTTTATATGACTAATTTTTGTTGTATAGCAGTTTACTCAACATAATTTTTTTTTCGATATAACACCAAATCTCGACGTTTCATACATTTTAAAGACATTTGGCATCAAAAAAACTACAAGGGACAGCCCAATGGGGTTGTACGCAATGATGACGTAGGACTACGTGGTATGATATAATAAATATTTTTGTTAACTGCAGCAGGAGCTTGTGTTTTGTGTAGGAATAGGAATTTTAGCGGGGTTCTCTCTGTTTATACTCTTTAGTATGACTATGATTGCCCTGAAAAGAATCTTTTGATACGAATTTTAGTTGGGACATGTTCAGAAAATTAACTCTTTTTGAGTTCATTTCAGAAAAGAGTTAGAGTAGAATTTTTAAAGAACTACAAAAATAGTTTTCACCATTAAGTCAAGGTTTTTTTTCTTCTCATTGATGGCGCTGTTCCATTGATAGTAGGTTAGAAATTTGGAAAAGTGGATGGAACGCTTTGGATGCATATTATGGTCAAAATAAGTCAAAAAAAAAAACATTCATTATCGTTCAGTTTTTTCCTAGAAATTTTCGATAAATAGTATTTTCTTGCAGGCTTTCTTGTTAAAAGGGAGGGAGTTTTTATGTATTTTTTATGCAGAATATGCAAAATGGGAGGGAATTCAAATGTAAATCCTCCCTCCCCCACTGCTTTGGTGATAAAATTATTGAAAATGGACCAGGGGCAGCTGAGTTATTAACGTTCAAAATCTTTCTTAATTTGTTACATGTTCCATTTTCGGTTTTCACAAAGTGTACCCCCATATAGAAATCAAAGACGCAGTCCTACGTAAAAAAAATGAATATCCCTATAATATTAACGAAATTTTGAAGCAGTTCGGTTTGAAGGAAGGTTATGTAGGGTAGAGAACTACTTCGGACTAATCGCCAACTTTGGGCCTATCGAGCAGAAAACATCAAATAAATCCATGATTTCAGAATTAACAAGTCGATTATGCGTTTGGTACGATACTTTCGTAAATAAGCTATGGAACGAAGTCAATGAGAAGGCGTGATATGAACGTTTGCACCCATTATTCCCAAAAACAAAAGAAGCGCTCCGACCGAATCAATTTTTATCTTCATCCAATAGGCCGAAGTGAATTCATTGACGTTTCAATGGCGTTTCTACAACTGGTAGAAACTAACGATTTTAAATTGGCTCACTACTTGACTAGCCTATTGGTCCCAAGCAAATCGATTAACCTA